GTAGGATTTGTAACTCCCAATTAAAATATTTGGGAGTTACATAAGAATGACTAATGACCTAAATACCCTTATCATTAATATGTAAGTTACATTTTAATCAAACCCAAAGATGCAACATTATTGGTTGATGTGGGTTAGCAAAGTTTGCACAAAATATTGGGTTAGTATTTGAACCACCCTCTATATAGATATATATATATATATATACACACACACACACATATATTTACACACATAGGATGTATCATATATATAAAAAAAAAGGATAAAAATGTTGAGTACATATGAATAAATGATTCATATGCCAGTCATTGATAAAAGAAAACATGAGTTTACATATGCATATTCAAATGGTTTTTTCCGAATTTACCAATGCACATATTGTATTTTTCATTCCTATTGAAATGCACTAAGTGGTTTGTTTGCGGTTTTGAATTACAAAATCATGATGCAAATCGCACCACATGCTAGTTCATATATATAATCAGATATTTTGTCTTAAAAGTCCAACTAAACTTTATTATCTTTTGAATTTAAATCATGTTGGGTGTATTGGAATTTTGTATCGTATAGATGGTCAACCTTTGAATCTGTATAGAACCTTTGCTTATAAGTATTAAGCTTCAATTGATCATACATTTTAACAGACGTTGAGTACAAACCACATCACCTTCAATTATTATCAATCATTATCATGTTATAATGGTTGTAACTTTTCAGATCTTAAAACTGTATTACTGTTCTTTTTAATGATGTGGCAGAGAAAACTAATTAATCCAGTATGGGTTTCACCATGTAGGGGAATAGCCAGCATATAGAGGGGGGAGGGCCCTCCTATCAAGAGAAAAAACCAAAAACGTTAAAAAAAAACAAGTTATTCCTATATAGAATTAATTAAGGCTCAATAATAATACGAGTTATTGGACATAAATGTGAAACAACAAACTACTATATTACGTCAACTGCTCAACATAGTAGAAGTTCATGATATGGATCAAACTGTGAAATCCCGACCTGATTAAGTTTCCTAATACTGAATTATATATGATGTTCCAATCAATAGTATCATTTATCAAATGAAATAAACATTCAAATCCACAATTTAAATACAAAAATGATAAACATTTTCATAATCAGTTCAATGTTTTCACAACACCAAACACTATGCATCGTGATTGAGAGAAATAACTTAGGGGCCATTTACCTAAACATTTACCTGGTAAGCACTTATCTGTAAATTTCAACACTATCGCTTATTTATCGGGTAAGATTTTATTCACTGAAACGCATCGTATGCAACAATTTATCCCGATAAGCACTAACCATTGTAAGAGTGCTCGTTCTCACTTACCCAATAAGACTCTCGATTCTTGTCTTCGCTCTTACCGAGTAAGATTATTAGCCCTTGCCATATTCATCCGGTAAAGTAAAGTGACTTGGTAAGCGTTTGGTAAACGACATCTTAAAGTAATACCCCAAAATTTGAGCTAGTTTTTAATGGATATTGCAAGTGAATGGCTAATATTGTGAAGTTATAGAAGTGCAAGTTCAAGGGCTAATTTGTGATTAGTGATGACTTGTGGACTTATTGAACCAAATGACTTTTGATATGCCGTAACGACTCGGTGAAGTTGTGAAGACGAAGTGAGAAGTAACTTCGGAAGTCGCCGCAAATTAAGAATGCGACTCATAGATGACGTATTATTGGTTGCGACATAGTTTATTGCGATATGTGTTTATAGGATAAGTTGGTAGAGTTCAATAGCTTGTTTGAACACTTAATATGCATATTAAGATGTATTTTTTTGTAAAAAGAAGGCAACACACATATTCATATATGTACGTTATGGATGGATTCATTCAAAACCCGAATTATTTTCCAGAAAGCACTTCATATTCTAAAGCAGTTTCATCATTTCAACGTGATAAAAGAATATAAAAAAAAAACTTGTACCATTATATATGAGTTTTTCTATTTAAAGTCGGTTTTAGTTGATGATAAGTTAATGTATTCTTATTTAGAACTATTAACTCAGATATAAATTATTTAAAATCTTGTTTTTTGGGTACTTTTTATGTTTATGAATAAACATTATGAAATCAAACACCATTTCTAGAATATGTTCCATTTTGATTTGAAAACAAATATTATTTCGTTGGCTTTTTCTTGTTTTATTATGTCTGTCATGACAACGAAACCCGAGCATCAATTAATAATCCATAATGTATCAAAACAAAAAAAGGGGGAAAATAACATCAAACTTGTCTTTAATGTGTAAGTAACCTATAATTGTCAATCACCATCTGAGACCAAACCCTTATTAACCACCACCAAACAAAGGACACAGGTAATAATCAGAGTATCTTCAACAGGTTCTCAAAAAAAAAAGACGGAAAAACAAAAATCAAAATATTTAAAAAATTTACATTTAATTTTATTATATTATAACACTAATTATGTTATTAAAACATTCAATACATTAATTATAAAAAATTATATTTCCTAAATATTTAATTGACTCTTAATGGGTTAGAATAATAATAAAATCTATTTCTCTCTTTTTATAATTATTTTTAGGGTCATTTGGTTTGCATAATTTGGATTGAATTCCATTTCAATCCCGTTTTTGGTTTAAATGGGAGTTCGGAATTGAAATCCACAAATATTGGATTTAGAAATCCCATGAGTAGTTGGTAACTTTGTATTTCATATGATTTATTTATAATAATTTGTTAAAATATGTTTAAGATATTTGTTTTGTAATAATCAATTAATAAAAGGTAATGTAATTGTTCTAATAACTATTTATAATTTGTTTTTTCTAATTTCAAGTATTTTTTTGTTTTTCTAATTTCAAGTTTTTTCAAAAAATCCAAATAACTTTAAAATATTCTATCAAACCAAAGGCCCCTGCTTTAGATTTCTTGAAAGAACTTGGAATCTTTATTTTATAAGATTTGGAATGGATTTGAATTTCATTATTTATAAATAATTTATAAAAATAAATTATAAATAATTTATTTTTTATTAATTGATTATTATTAAAAAAATGTTTTTAACATATGCTAAAACATCGTCACAAACAAATCCCATAGAATACAAGTTACCTCGTAGGATTTCATTGAAACCGTCGGATTTCAGTTCTAACTTTCCTTTACACCGAACACAGGATTATAATGAAATGCAATACCAAAATCCCATCAAAACTCGCAAACTAAACAGTCTTAGAGCCCATACCCATTTGGTTTGAAGGAAACATTTTGAGGGATTCAAATTTCCCGTAAAAGGATTTGAAATATTTTGTGTGTTCGTTTATACCAACTTCCGCATGGGATTTCTAATTCTAATGTTTGTGGGATTTTATTGAAATCCAGATTTCAATTCCGGAATTTCCTTTAAACAAAAAGGTGAGAGTGGAATGGAATCCAATTCCAAATCCCGAAAAACAAACTGGTTTTAGAGAATTCTCCAAATTTGGAGAAATTTAAACCATCTCTCCTACTTTCTCCATTTCGGAGAATCTTATCAAAATCAGCCAAAAATCTCGCAAATACTCTCCTTTTCCATTTTGAAGAATCCGTTAGAAATGTTTCTAACCAAACCCTATATTATTATTATTTTTATTAACCTGGACATCCAACCCACTATGTGAGCTGACTAATCCCAGGACGACCATCTGCTTTGCAGATAACCCGGAGTCACCGCATTTGAACTTCCGTGACCACAAAAGGATTTTTATTCCTCCCTGGATTTGAACATGTGACCTCCTGGTACTTTTGACCTTTAGAGCCAAACTCAAACCAATCAGGCACCACCCTTATGGTTGATTCAAACCCTATATTGGGCACCATGAAGATTCAATGTCCTTGGCACTCACAAGAAGGAATACAAATTTGCTATCCCAAAATCCTCAATCCCAGTAATCATGTGAATAGACATCAAAACCTTAACACCCTTTTTCTATTGATCATCTTGGGCAAAATATAATTTTAATTCATGTCCACAAAAATAATTATGGTTTTCAAATAATTGCAATATTATGCTGTATTAGAGAAAGTGCTCACTTGCTATTCCAAAGAGTTAATCAGGTCTTTGAAGTTAAACACTAGCCAACCAGCTTTTGCAGAGACTGCCTCGCGAAGTTGGACCCCACCGTAGCAGATAAATAGGTCGGCGCACCCAGGTTTCTGAGCCTACGGAAAACACAAAATCAATAGTTGGTGAATAAATGGATTTTGAGTTGAATCTAATACCAAATAGAGTTTGAGTTGTTTTTACCTCAAGATCAGTGGCACCATCACCAATCATTACTACCATCTTGTATCCATGAGCCTGGTAAGTTCATTTGGTGTTATCAATGAAGTTATTTTAGACTAGCTGAAATATGGATGACAAAAAGACTAACCTTTCTTAGTAGTTCAACTGCAAATGGTTTTCCTCCGCTTCTTGAAGTTGGCTCGTTTGCATCAAATCCCGAAAACTCGCCGGAAGTCTTGAATAGCAGTTGATTAGCAAATATATTTTCAGTTGGTACCCCAAGGATTGATGCAACAGGCTACAAAGAACATGCAAAAACGGTGAGATATAAGTTCACTGCGCACGTGTAGTTTTATTCATTCTTAAAAAACACTAATCAGATAACTTGTCACAGGATATGTCAAAAATTGATATAAAGAGAATAAAACTAAAAGATGAGATATTGTTACAAGTTTCTAGGCAAGCAAGTCAAATATTGGCATAGCATGATAACATGATCTAGTTTCAAGGGAAATGAGACTACAACAATGAAAATAATACTATCTGCCAATAGAAAAGTAATTGATAAAACCATGTCTATTTTGGATTAAAAATGGCATATTTGACCTGAAAGATCAAGATGTATCTCCTAATTTTGGAATATAGGTCCTACTCTAGACGAAAGCCATGAGTTTTAATAGATTCAGCTTTTCAGGGAAGCAAGTTGAAAACGGTACTAATGAATAAAATACATGTAAAATTTGAAGAGCGAAGAAAACCTTCAATGCAGTTATTGATTCTTGGATTGCTTACATTGATCATTTGACGAAAGCCTCCAGAGATCAGATATACAGTTTTACCACTTTCCTTGAGCTTCTGGACCAATTCCTTTATCCCAGGAGAAAGTCTGCCAATTCAAAAGCAAAAACAGTAAAACCATGTGCATACAAAATATTAGAATTCCTTCGTCTTACCTAGTAATAACATCTTATAAGCTTGAGTTCTCATTTAAGGTAGGATGGCTTGAGGAATGAACAAAATTTCTTAGGATTCACAGATATTCTTATCTGCAGAAAGTATTGCACATCTATATTGAAGGAAAAGAAAATTAAAGAAATAAATAAATAAAAGGTTATTCGATTTGGTAAGAAGCAAATATGAACGAGGCAAGAAACAACATAATACCTTGGGGGCCTCTTCTCAAGAAAGTCCTGGACCTGTGATAACGAAGGTTTGAAAAGAGAGAGTCTGGCGGCTAATGCCTCCTCAAAAGGCACTGAACCACCCATTGCTCTGCCAACACACGATAAAATAAATATAAACCCTCACTGAATGCAGAACCATTCTTAATACTGTATAAAACATATATTCAACCTAGCAGTCCATTCAGCAACAGCTTTCCCAGCTCCACAAAATTCAGCAAGTTCATCAATGCCCTCATCCACACACACGGTGCTATCCACATCAAAGCATACAGCATCAGCTTTTTGCCATATATCAAGAACCTCTGAAGTGGTTAAACAAGCCCCAGTTAGATGACAGAGTAAGATCTTGGTGATCTCTTGTCACCTTTTCCATTTTCAATTAAATCATTGTTATTTCAACCAACTAAACACCAAGTCAAATGCATTATGGGTATATATACCTTTGGAAGGTAATGTATTGTCCAATCGACCTGATGAGGAAGCTGTTAATGGCTTAACAGAACCAGCTTTTGAGTTGGATGATGTGGAAGGTCCCATCATCCTGATTGGACCATAGAAGACTCTTCTTCTGCTTGATGTTTGTGTCGGAAAGAGGGGGGTGTTTCCCTGATTACCATAAGCACGAATAGGAATTATTCGTGAACTGATCAACCCTTCCATCAAATTTATCTGGCATAAGGATAACCAAGTATAAATTTATAATATATGACATTTTAAACTTCAATACCAAACTACCAAACAATTCTTAGAATTAAACATCTACAGCAGCCACTTAACACTTTACATGCAACAAACGCTCCACCAGAAAAACATGTGAGAATTACCCAATCGATCCCTCTCATACAAATATACAGTACAAAAACAAATTTGATGTGCAACCAAATAAAAGATGCCTTTTGTGCTGTTTTATGATAGCATAACAAATATTGTAAAAATATAATAAAATGCTAACTCCCTTTGTTGAATTAAACCACAGCACTGCCATTCACTATGTAAAGGACAGCCAAAATAACATAGTAAAATAGTATCGAACAATTTTGTTCGTATATGAAGTATACTCATAAAAGAAAAAAGTAGTGCCTGGTAGCAAAACTGAATCATGGTTATAAATATTTCCCTGTTTTCATAGAACTTAGCTAAGAATTTAGTTTCATGGTACTTGGTTTTTTAGTTCACAAGACTCCCAATGAGCACTCTTCCAAGTTGATAACAAGAAAAGTACATAGAAATAGAAGCAGCCGTGCATCCCTTGTAATGAATAGCAGCAGCTCCTTGATACAACAATCCATGGATTATTTGCTTTCTTCAAAATCTTTTCTCTTTTAAATAAAATTCTTTTGAATAGACCTTGATTCAAGAACAATTAACATGTTATGGTTCATTCACAATTACATAATTCAATCCATCAAAATCCTATGACCCAATGCTCCTCAATCTCCAGCATATAATCAGTTAATGGTTTAATAAGCTGCTGCTTCTCAATCTTCAACTTTTCCCCCCTCTGAGAAAGGAGCCCATGTTGATTTTGGATGTCAAAAAAGCTAAGAAGTTGTTCACCAAAAAAATTGGGTACGTGCTGATAAGGTGACTCTGTCTGATATAATGATGACTGAAAGATGATTGCTTACCAAGTGTTCTATAGTAAGCACAATCAACAGAAAATTATCATTTTAACCCTCTATATGAAGTGTTAATGAAATATGACTGTTTATATAATTAAGGTCTGAATGACAGAAAATTACAATTTTCGTGATTTAAATATATTTAGACAAGAAAATATGTTAAATTCATTCATATTTCAGTAGAAGTAGATTTTCCAAACATCAATACCAAAAAGAAATCGTTTCCTATTTCAAAGCATGATCAATATGGGGTCTATTCCAAAGAACAATTTTCTCATATTCCATTATTACATATTGTTAATCATCTAACTCTTCTTACAGAATTAAGAATCCCTATCAATTCTAAAATTCAACATGTCGGCTCTTACATAGCTGTTGAATTCTTAAATATCCTAAGATTCAAACTTGGATCGCAGCTATTCTAAACTTGAAAATGCACATACATAGCTGTTGAATCCTTAATTATCCCACTTTAAGATCTTGCAATGCTGCTGCAATCTCAACCATGAGTAAGCTTTGAACAATTTGTTTTCATGTTAAACGTATTTTTCTATTGTAGAGGACATTTGAACAGTTTGTACAAGGCATCTATAAAGATGTTTTCCATCACAAGGCAACTATAATTGATAGTTCAACAGAGCAACATGGATGTTTCTTACCAAATAAACTCATCATCGTAGACTTGTATGCTTATTTTTAGAATCAATTCAAAGAAGCATCAGATGTATAAGAACAGATACCGGCATTGAATGATCAATCAATCCCGGGTAGTTTTCTTAAAATCAAAAGAGAATTTTCTATCAGTGTCTTGCCCTTATACACTACATTCTTCATGAACAACAACAAAAATGATATATTCTTTATGAGCTTAGCAAACTAAATACAACTTTCGAAGATAAGGTTTCAAACAAAAACAGCAGAAAAGTTAGGGTTTCAAGAGTAGATAGCAGATCAAGTTTGGGGTACCTGTTCGTTCGAGACGAGCAGAGAGTAGATCGGAGACACGGAGAAGAGAGGATGAGGAGGAAGGCCCTAGAATCGAATCAACTCAAAGCAACGATTCTAATCGCTGGAGAGAAGCCGACGTTGAAGAATCAAAATGCAGAAATGTGGATCGTATTGGATTCCATTAATGGTGCTTGGAATCTTTTTGGTTTTGGAGTTGAAGAATTTGTTGGGGATTTATTTATTTCTTGAATCTCACCAACCACGGACGCCGGTTGTTAGAAACTGAACTGTTTGAAATTGCTTATAAAAATAATTTGTTGACTCATTTTGGTATGACGTCGGTAATAAACATTTTTAAGTGTTTAAATAAACAATTTATATTGGTGTCAAACCGGTAATAAACAGTTTTTAAAAAGTTAAACTCTTCTGACTTATAATAAATTGATAAGTGTTTTTTTAGAAAAGCATAAGTTATTTCAAATAAGCAATCTCAAACACCCCCTGTATGTTCCAGGAGGTCTTAAAAACAACTTTAAATGTATAAGGTATTATTTTTTGTAGAGCAATATAAATTTACACATAAAGGTGGCGTTTGGTTCGCAGAATGTTTTTGGATGGAATGGAATATGTTAAAAGAATTTGACTTTGAAGGAATTGAAATGGAATGTTGTCAGGTTTGACTACATGTTTGGTTGACAGACATTAGAATGGAATCTGTTAAGAAATTGGAATCTTTCTGTTTGGTTCACCGAATGTAACTTTAGAATTGGAATAAATTTTTGGTAAATGACCAAAATACCATTTTTTAAAAATTTTAATTTTTTAAAACTAAAAATACTTTAATAAAATAATTATTTAATATGTAAAACAATATAAAATACACAACCCAAATATAATCATAAGCCAAACGACATTACTAAATCGACGGTGGTCGGCGGTGGTTCAGATCGATGGTGGTCCACAGTGGTTTAGATGGTGGTGGTCCTAAGTGATTCAAATCGATGGTGGTCCGCAGTGGTTCAGATGGAGGTGGTCAGCGGTGGTTCAAATAGGCGGTGGCGGCGGTGGTTGTTCAAATCGATGGTGGTTGGCGGTGTCCGACGGTGATTCAGATCAATGGTAGTCGTCAGTGGTTGGCAGTGATATAGATCGATGGTGGTCCATTGTGGTTCAGGTGACGATGGTCATATATGGTTCAGATCGGCGATGGATCATATCGGTGATGGTCAATGGTGGTTTAGATCGACGGTGCTTTAGAGTGGTAGTAGTTGGCGGTGGTTCAGATCGATGGTAGTCCGTGGTGGTTCAGATGATGATGTTCGACAGTGATTCAGATCGGTGGTGGTCCATGGTGGTTCAGATGTCGGTTATCGTCAAAGCTTCAGATTGACGGTGAATCAGATCAGTGGTGGCTCAGATCGGTGGTAGTCGCTGGTGGTGGTCGACATTATTTTAGATCGGTGGTAGACGGTGGTGGTGGTCGACGGTGGTTCAGATAGGTGGTATTCGATGATGGTCGACGATGGTTCAGATCAGTGGTAGTCGGTGGTGGTGGTGGTGGTGGTCAGCATGGTTTAGATTGGTGGTGGTTCATCGGCGGTGGTTTAGATTGACGGTGAATCAGATCAGTGGTGGCTTAGATCGGCGGTGGTTTGGATCCGTGGTAGTCGGCGGTGGTTCAGATCAATTTTGGTCGGCGGTGGTTCAGATCGGTGGTAGTCGACGGTGGTTCAGATCGGTGGTAGTCGACGGTGGTGGTCGGCGATGGTTCAGACCGGTGGTGGTCGGCGGTGGTTCAGACCGGTGGTGGTCTGCGGTGGTTCAGACCGGTGGTGGTCGGCGGTGGTTCAGACCGGTGGTGGTCGGCGGTGGTTCAAACCGATGGTGGTCGGCGGTGGTTCAAACCGATGGTGGTCGACGGTGGTGGTCGGCGGTGGTTCAGACCGGTGGTGGTCGGCGGTGGTTCAGACCAGTGGTAGTTGGCGGTGGTGGTCGGCGGTGGTTCAGACCGTTGGTAGTCGGCGGTGGTTCAGACCGGTGGTAGTCAGCGGTGGTGGTCGGCGGTGGTTCAAATCGGTGGTAGTCGGCGGTGGTTCAGTTCGGTGGTGGTGGTTGACGGTGGTTCAGATCGGTGGTAGTCGGTGATGGTGGCGGTGGTTCAGATCGGTGGTGGTGGTCGGCGGTGGTGGTCGGTGGTGGTGGTCGACGGTGGTTCAGATCAATAGTGGTCGAGAGGTGGTTGACGATGATCATATTGAGTTTTATGAGATTATAATATATTAGGTTAAGAGCATATTTGGTATAATAAAGATAGAGATTTCATTCCATCAAAATACCATGTAGTTGCTAAGGAATGTTAAAATCCTTTATCCAATGGAATTCATAGGAATCTGAAGATTCCTTTCGCTGAAAAGAATGAACCAAACGAAGGAAATGAATCTGGTCAAAGGAATTCAACATTCCAATTCCTTCAGATTCCTCCAGAGTCTGTGAACCAAACGCCACCCGAACACCCCCTATATGTTCCAGGAGGTCTTAAAAACAACTTTAAATGTATAAAGTATTATTTTTTGTAGAGCAATATAAATTTATACATAAAGTCTTATAAGTCTTGATTTCGGCTCCCAAAAAAGCGATTTCAGCTCCCAAAGACGCCGATTCTTTATCCAATTGCAACAATTTGACTCATTCTTTTCAATTTCAAACAAGTTGAACCATCAATGCTTCCCTTTCAAAAAGGCGATTCACGTTCCAACACCATCACTGCTTCCCTCCTCCCTCTGGCGTCCTTGCCACCTCTCCTCCTATCGTCTGGTGTTCCTCCTTGCTGCATGGCCTCTATTCTGAGAAAATGGAGAACTAAAGAGAGGGAAGAGTAAAAATCAAACATAATAGAAGAGTTATCATCTCCTCTGATTTTTTTTACTCCCTCCTTCATCTTCTATTCTTTTTGTGTTAAATGAAGGTAAGAATCAAAACCCTAGAATTCAATAAAGATTAGGGTTCTTATCAAGGTTAGTTCTCCACCAATTCGTTCTATCGATCTCTAATTCTCTACTGGAATCATATGATTATAACGTTAGGGTTCTATACATTCTTCTTCGGATTTGATTATCCATCGCTCCATCTCAGGTAACGGTTTTTATCGAATTCAAACTCTCCATTTTGACTGTTGGTAATTAGAAAAGGAATCAATTGTAAATAAAGATGTTTTTCCCGGTATAAATAAATGTAATCGATTCCTCTTCCATGGGTTTTAGGTTTGAAGCAATACACTAGGTTTGGTTGTTAGATCGAACACCAGTCTTATCATTTCCTGTATTTATGGCTGCTTGTTGGTAAACTGTTTTACTATCTCTGACTTTTGCTCTTTTCTTTATTTATTTTGGGTTTTAGGTTTTGAAGTGATTCAAGGTGGTTGTAACGTCTAATTGTTATTTTTTTTGGTTTAGGAGGATATTTGAAGCTTCAATAGATTGATGATTTTTCATCCATAGACATTAACATGAATATGATATCTATCATTTTTTTACTAGTTCGGTTTACTCATTTATATACAGTGTAACAGATGTCGTTGAAATTCATTCTGTTTTACAAACTTAATGATCCACAATCAACCGATAAAAGTCAGGCTGTGGGAAGATATGATTCATTTTTATATTAACAGTATTTTCAATTGAGCCTCTACTGTCCATAGGTTACAATGATGTTCCATCCTTAACATGTTAGTGATAATGCTTAAATCTTTCTTCTAGAAAGCTCCTGAGCTACCAAAACATAAACAACTTATAATGAAAGGTATGTTCTTTATTTTCCGTGTTGTAATTGCCACAACTGAAAATTTACTGTAACTCTCTTTTTTGTTGGACTTTCTGATCTTGCTATACCCAAAATTTTGTTTAGTTTGTTGGTCATCACATCTGTCTATTAACTTGCGGAAACTGAACAAATGGAAAGGGTTCTTTGAGTTGCACATCAAGTGTGATTAAGGATTCATTCAGTTGAAGTTCGTTATCAGTTTATGTTAACAAAATTTTTATAGGATTGTTTTGCTATTTCGAGCTATTAATTTTTCGTGTATGGGTCACAAGAGCTTTATATATTTTTATTATTCTAGGATGGTTTCTGGGCTTTGAATGTCCTACATGATCATTTATGGTTTCAACAGTTGTTGCTCTGTATCAGCTTCTGTTTTGATCAGATTAAGGTGGTTGGATTTGTAGACTCCTTGGATGTAGATGTTGGTATGGATGTTTTCACGGTAACTGTTAAAGTGGAGATTGGACTATTGTGCAGTTAATCTAGAGGCGGTGGGGTTTGATTTTTGGTCATTTCAATTAATTAGAATATTGGTTTCTATTTCGGTTTGTACAAGATAATTTATTTATTTTTCAAATGTATTCACTAGATATTTGTTTATTCCTTCATTATAATTATTTAGACAACATAATTGATTTTCATGCTTGTGTACAATAAGGTAGTGTTTGGTACGCTGACTGGATGGGACAAGACGGGACGGGACAGGACAGGACGGGACAAGACTAATTGTCTGTCCTATGTTTGGTACGACTAGGACAGGACGGGACAAAACTATTAAAATGACCATATTACCCTTAAATGTTGTTCAATGTTATTTTATATCATATAATAATTGTAAAATTACAACAAATCAATCAAAATATTGTCATTTTAACTTTAGTCTCATGTTGTTCCACCTTTTTTGGTGAAACAAAAAAAATCAAGATTTGTCCCACTAAAATTAAAAATAGTCCCACCTTGTCCCATGTTTTTTTTGTCCATGGCATGCCAAACATGGGACTATTTTTTTTTGTCCCGTCCTGTCCCATGTAGTCTGCATACCAAACGCACCCTAAAGTTCACCTCGATTCCTTATTTGTTACATTGTACTTGATTATATCTTGTTGCATCGCACGAGTACTCAACTATAAAAAATCGAGGTTTAAATATTTCTAAGGGTTCCCCTGAAAGATCGAATGTCTAAAAATAAGTTTTGTACTTTTTAATGAATAGTTGCACTATTTTTAGTTGTAGGCTTACTAGAAAATTTGACATCCCGTTGCATTGCACAGACACACAACTAATTATTTATAATATTGATCGGTTACTCAAAAAACCCTACTTTAAATCTTATCGGTTTAAACAATCTTCATATTAAATCTCAGTCTTTTAAATTATTTATTTTAAGATTAATAATAAATCATCTTCAACCTCTACCTTTCCAAGCACCTTAACCTCAGTTCTCTTCAATTTCAAATTACATTTATGCCCTTATAATTAGTCATTTGATTTATTTTATATCCATTGCTTTTTTTCATTTACCACCTTTATTGTATTAACACAAATAATCATATATGAAGTATATGCATTTAAAAAATACGTTTCATTTTTTTTTACAAATTATATTATTATAATCATCTCATCAGTATCTTCAAATTGAGCTCATTATTGAATATTTTTTTATTTAATAATATTATTAAATATCATAAATACATACGAATGAATCTGTTTTATATCCATACATTTTCATTTTACCATTTATCTGCCTATACTATATTATAAAGCATGTTAAATGGTTATTGTTGAATTTTTAAGAGGTAACACGTTCAACAAGATAATTCAAAATAAGATAATTTTTTTATTTTCAAGTTACATTTTTTGCCATTTTAATTAGTTATTTAATTTACCATATATCCTTTTCTTTTTCATTTTTCATTTTACACATTTATCGTATTAACACATATAATTATATATTAACTAAAATACATTAAAAAATGTTTCTTTTTTTATAAATTATACAATTATAATCATCTCATCAATACCTTCAAAATGAGCTCAATATTCCTTCTCAATTTCAACCACCCCCACCCATCCTCCAAAGAGCCCTAATTTTTCTTACTCACTCTCCTGAGTTCACGATCTCTCTCTCTCAATTGGATTGCTTATAACTGATATGCTCTTCAAATATGTCACCCACCCATCTTAAATCCATATCTTATATCAAAGCTATACCTAAGAGTGTTCACGTTACAGTTTTGTACGGTTTAAACATTTTTCCAAACCGCAAACCATACCACATAAATCGTATCAAACCGCACTTTATACTTACAATTAAATGATTATATGGGCATCGGTTGTTATGCGAATGAGGCTCATGCAACCACGAGGGGTATTTCTATATGCTTGGCTATGATAGATTGAGTTGTATGAAGTGTACTTTTTAAAAATTTGTAATGATAACAAAGTAATTTATTTTTGTTTAATAATATAATTTTTATAAGGATGATAATTGTGTATTCTCTTAAAATTTAATTATTATCTTAATTATATTTTAATTTTTTATATTTAAAATAAGATGTTTATATTGTATTAAATTATGTTCATCTGCGGTTAGTTACACGAATTCAAAAATATAATTTTAATAAGTTATATTTATACATAACTAGAAGGGTACTCGTGCAATGCATCGAGATACATTTTGATTTCAGTATTTCGTTTTATTCCTTTTTTATGTCGATATAATACGGTTTTATGTGGTTTTGAGAGAAAGAGATAATATTTTTATCTTTGAATAAAATATTATAAAATTTTGAAAAATATATACCGATATCAGTATCAAATTAACCTTTTTAAAAGTTCTTGTGTTTTGGTGTAATGTCCTTAATTCAAATTTTCAATTATAGTTTAATTTAGGTTTAGTAACAAAGAAATTTAATTTAGGTTTAATAATATAATTTTTTTATAAAGATAATAACTAAAATATCCTGTTAGAACTCAGTGATTATCCTAATTATATTTTATATTTATATATTTAAAATAAGATGTTTATCCAATATTTGATTATGTTTATCTACAATTAGTTACACGAATTCAAACATGGAGCTTTATTAAGTTGTACTTATGCACAATTTACTTGTAATCTTAAATTTTAAGTAATATGCATCAATAAACAGTACCTCGTGCATAAAAATGATTTTTAAGAGTTTTTGTCAAATGTTTTATAATATAGTATAGATTATGTGTTTAGCTTATATAGTTTATAAATTATTGTTATTTTTATCACGAACTAATTCTAACCTTTTAAGTACAAACAATTATAATAATAAATAATTATAAATCACAAAGATAAAAAAAATTGTAATAATAAGGACGAAAATAACAATGAATTACAAACTATATCAATATGGATGAAAATCGCAATTTCTAAACCAAAAGAATAAAAACCATAATTTTTAAAAAACCATAAAACTAAAAACATAATTTACTCTCCATTTTTTAAACTCGATTTACATGTTTCGTACTGTTGGGCAATATTTAAAATGGCGTGAGATGTGGTATGATGATGTTGTGACGAGGACAAGTCTTAAATCTTATACGCCAGGGCGATGATGTGTCGTTTTTCAATGCGTGACATAAGTCGTTTTTTATATGTAACTTGGTCATATCAGTTGAAATTTTTTTCCCTCTTCTTTTGTTTGCCCACCACTTTTTATACGATAAATTTGTATGTCATATATATAGTTTTATGTAAGCATATGCGTTTTCTGTGTATTATTCAAAGTAATGATATTAAAAAATTTGCATGCATCATAGAGGAAGAAAAATCATATATATATATATATATATATATATATATATATATATTATTTATAAAAATAGTTTTTGAATAAGTATTTAAAATAGAGCTAATTTTACAGTTACGTTTTAATAATGAAAATGTAGCGAGATACATCTTGATTTTAATGTTATTTTTTTTTTGTCTTAGACAATGTTATAATACGGTTTTATATGGTTTTTAGATAAAAAAACGATAATTTTTTATTTTTGAATAGAATATAAATATGAAGATATCATAAAAATTTGAAAAAATATATATATTAATATTAGTACCAAAACTAACAATTTAAAATTTCTTTTTTTTTTGTAATTTCTTTAACTCATTTTTTATTTAATAATATAATTTTTTATAAAAATAATAATTAAATATTTTGTTAGAATTTAATGATTATTTTAATTATATTTTAGATTTTTTATATTTAAAATACGATGTTTATCCTCTATTTAGTTATGTGTATCTATAATTAGTTACACGAGTTCAAATATTGAGCTTTAATAAATTATGCGTATGCACAATTTATTTGTAATATAAAATTTTAAGTAATATGCATCTAAACAGTATTTGATGTATAAAAAAATAATTTTTAAAAAATTTTATCAAATATTTTATAATATAGTATATATTTACTTATAATATTAAATTTTAAAACAACAGACAAGATAATCATGAAACACACAAAGTATAAAACCAGGAGACCTCATGTCATAGGATCATAACCCTAGTTGGCGGAGAAGGAAACGATGACTTCGCCGGAGAAGCGATGCTTGTACGAAGTCCTTGGTCTCCAGCGGGATTGCACGGCGGACGAAATCCGGTCGGCGTACAGAAAGCTTGCACTGCAACGCCACCCCGACAAGCTAATCAAATCCGGCGTTACTGAAGCTGAAGCCACCGCTTCCTTCCAAGAGCTCGTCAACGCTTATGAGGTCCTCTCCGATGTGCGAGAACGCGCCTGGTACGACTCTCATCGCTCTCAAATCCTCTTCTCTGGTTCAAACCCTAGCAATTCATCCTCTGCCTCAGCCATCGTCCCCGATCTCTTTAGCTTCTTCTCTAATTCCGTGTTTTCGGGGTTTTCGGATAAAGGTAAGGGGTTCTATAAGGTTTACGCTGATGTGTTTGACAAAATCTATCATAACGAATTGAATTTTGCGAAGAGGTTAGGGTTAGGTAATGTGGTTAAAGAGGCACCTTTGATGGGCAATTTGGATAGTCCATATGCACAAGTGAATGCGTTTTATGGGTACTGGTTAGGGTTTGTAACTGTGATGGATTTTGTGTGGGCCGATGAATATGATGCAATGGCGGGACCGAGTAGGAAGTCTAGAAGGTTGATGGAGGAGGAGAATAAGAAGATCAGGAAGAAGGCCAGAAGGGAATATAATGAAACAGTTAGGGGTTTGGCAGAGTTTGTGAAGAAGAGGGATAAGAGGGTGATTGATATGCAGATGAAGAGGAATGAAGAAACACAGAGAAAGAAAGAGGAGGAAAGGGCAAAGAAGAAGGAAATCGCAAGGGAGAAGGCAGAGAGAGCGAGGGCGTATGAGGAGCCTGATTGGGCACGGGTGGAGGAGGAGATGGTGGAGGAGGTGGTGGAGGAGGAAGAGAGAAAGAATGAGTTGTACTGTGTGGCATGTGGGAAGAAGTTCAAAAGTGATAAACAATGGAAGAATCATGAGCAATCTAAGAAGCACAAAGAAAAAGTGGCAGAATTGAGGGAAGCTTTTGGAGAAGAAGATGATGATCGGAGAACCGAAGAGAACGATAGTGATGGTAAGGTTTCAGGTGATGGAGATGCGTCTGTGTCTGTTGATGAGGTTGAAAAGCTGAAAGAACAGTTTGAAGGTGTTGAAATTCAGGAGGAAGAGAACGATTATGATCAAGAAAGCCAATCAGAGGAGGAAATTGTTGATATTGCTGATGATGGAAGGGGAGGACTCAATGGGGTGATTGAAGAGCTGGGAATGGATGATAATGATGATGAGACTAGTGTGTTAGAAGCAATGTTATCCAAGAGCAGGAAAAATCTTGGATCCACAAGGAAGCCAAAGCCTTCAAAGAAAGTTTATGTTGAAGCTGAAGCTGAAGAGGTAGACTTGATGGAATATAATAATAAAAAAGGTAGAAGAAAGAGGGGAGTTAGGAAAGATACGGCTGAAAGAGCTGACAATAAAGAACACCAAAGAATTGATGAGCCTGAAATAAGTAGCAAGGCTGAGCTAGATAACAAATGTGATGATGATTCACACATCGAGAAACTACCATCATCTCAACCTTGTGCAGAAGATGAGAAAAATGGCCGAGGAGAGGATGAACCCACAGTAAAGATCAAGGTCTCAAAGCAAGAACCTGCAATGAACGTTGCCAATAAAAAGGAGGGGAGTTCGAAAGCAAAAGTTTCTTCTAAAGGAAAGAAACAGAAGGTACTATCTATCTTTTTTACCAATGTGTATTTAAGCTAACATAGTTTGCTTTTGTTATACCTACAAAGCCATGTTAGTTTACTGAAATAGTGTGGGTGCGTTTCATATGCGCAACAGGATATAACAAAAACTTCTTGTCTCACGTTTGGCGGTTTTGACCGGGGACAGGACAAGACTGAATGGGACAAAATTGCATTTTTTGTCACGTCAAAACTCAAAACAAAATCCTGAAAACTTTCACAATTTTTTCACAAGTCATTTTTGCCTGTCCAGTTCCATCTGTGTACCAAACGCACCTTGAAAGAGCATTTTGTTGCTTCTCTTTGATTTTGTTTGGTCTAATATCACATTATTTCTTATCTGACCACAGGGAACATCAAGAAGTTCTGGGCATGAATGTGATACCTGTGGAATAGACTTTGATTCAAGGTATTTACAAGCTGTCTGAGGTCAATATTTTCTGTATTTCGTACCTCTACCTGTTGGCACTTGGGCTTATTAATATTGTTTCTCACTTTCTCTGGCAGGAACAAATTACATAAACATTTGAGTGACACTGGTCATGCTGCACTCAAATCACGGTGACAATGAAGTCTAAGAATATCGGAGAAGTTCACATTCCAGGAGTTTGGGGGCTTAAATGGTATCAATTTTGTTTTACAATTCAATCCTTTCTAGAGTAGGATTATATGTTGCCAGATTGGTGATATCAATTTTGCAAGTGCAAGTTGTTTTGATATGGAGAACAATAGTTTCAAAATTTGTTTCAAAATACACCTTTGGGTACTTCTCTGTCATCAACAAAGGACTAATGTCCAATTCTAATATTCTTTATTTGTACTTCTTATAGAGTAGCAAGCATTTTGATGATTATTATAGTTACACATGTACCATTTACGTTCGCAATAAAGTCACAAGCGTTTTCCTTATGTGTGGAGTAAGTTACGCCATCTATCTTGAACCAGTATTAAGATTTTCTATTTATGCTTGTATAAAATAAGTTGCTCAAATGATTATGAGTTGCTCAAATGCATCTTTTTTTCCTTCCCTACGCCCATGAGTATAGCATGATGAACGCAAGTTATGACAGTATGGTTGGATGGCTGGTGAGAAGTACAAATTTTGACATGAATTTAACAATGAACAGAAGTGCAAAACCAACTGTTAAAAGACATAATACGGTTAGATGGTTGGTGAGCCAATTTCAAATCCCATCAGTTTTGGAGTTCAAAAGCATGAATCCTTGTTGATCAGGAGAGCTACTCATCAATTTCTTAGGAATATATACATATGATAGAGATTGAGGTCATAATGGTTTAGTAGAGGCTTCCTGTATATAAACAGTGGCTTCATCTTCTGACAGCTGCTTTCCCAGTACAAGTCCTCTCACCAAGGTGTCTGCATATTCTTTGGCTGGAGCACAAATTGGTGTCTTCCCAGATTTAAAGTCCTCAACATGACCAACAGTGCACCTGCATTTTTAACCAAAGTGTTTGTAAGACATGCCTGGAATAGAAGATGCAAAATGTGGGAAAACAAGCTTACGTCATTGTCAGAATTGGAATATCCTTCTCCTTCCCCAAGTAAACAACGTTATGGTACCAACCATCCTGCAGGAAAACATTTGTTTGGATTCAAAAAACGTTCCACTTTCAAAAGTTGACTCGGAGAAGTTGTACTTTAGGGGTGCGTTTGGTATGCAAGGGGTGATAGTGAGGTAGGCGGTGGAAAGTTGTAGGGTTTTATTTTGACATGGGTAGTTTAGTAATTTATTTATCTTGTCTGATCACCTTGATTTTTGTTCCCCATATCTTGTCCCAATCTAATGTCGTGCTAAACATGGGACAACGAGTTTTTGTTTTGTCCTGTCTCGTCCAGGCCCAACGTACCAAATGCACAAGCAAGATAAAACTTAATCAATGAGAAAGCCATGTACTGACTTATTTGGGGTAATGAATGAAAAGGGGAAGTGTGAGATATGGAGCCTGACCCTGGATTGTATACTAGACTACAACTTGGAGGAACAATCCATCTTGAGTTGGCGGGAGGTGTCGGAGGGAGCCAGGATGGTGGGTTCTGCAGGGCATTATCCCTACCCAAATTTTGTAAGGAACGATTATGATAGTTAGGATTATAGTTATCTTGTATATGTGCTATCTGATTTTCTTCATATAAATGCAATTGGTCTTATGTTGATATATCTACTATTGTTATAATAAGAATTCTAGCAACAACTGTAGATGTGAAATTGTTAAAGCCTGTAAAAGCTTTGTATATGGGGGTGTCATATGCTTATCAACCCTAATTAGAAAATGTCAGAGAGGTTGCAGCAAGGAGAAGCCATTTTGGTTCAGATAGAACAGGAATCCTGTTTTACTTCTATGTTCTGGATGTCTTCAAGTTTGAATTTTAATGGCTAGAAAAATAGTAGTTTTCTGAAAGTTGTATTCTCATAAGGGTAGCAAAAAGAGAGGTTGGCAAGAACATTTTTGGGCGTACCTTGAGAGCTTCCAAAGGAATGTTCTTTTCATTTTCGATGGAGTCTAAAGCATTCAGATCAAAGAAAGGAGAACTTGTGTCTGTAAGGACATTCTCCTGAAGCAGAACATCGTTAAACTGCTCAAGACTGCATGATAAATCAAATCCATCATGAGAAAGATATACAAAAGAAACTGAAAACTAGAGCAAGTTTCAGCAGATCTTGCATGTCAAAATGACAGAAACATGAACACAATTTAAGAGAGAGATATTAACAATCACATACGTGATCCTATAGAGGCACATATAGGTTTTCTCCTGATCGCTACTTGCAGGATGAAGGAAAGCAACCCCTCCAGGACCCCAAGTAATTGTACTCTCTCGACCAAAGAATAAACGGTGAGGAACGATCTTCCACAGGACCTCCTTCGGCTGGCTTTTGTCTACAGCCCCTTTACATGGCCTTCGCATGCCTTCGGCCTAGAAAATAAGTGATAGCGTTAACAGAAAACCAAGAACTAATAATGCTAGGCACAGTTATGAGCTCATATAACAAAAGGGTATCAAGCAACTCGGAATATATCCCAGTCTGGGAAATTTTAAGCAGCCATATTATCTTCTACAGTATTGATACTATGCTTTCTGATAATAAAGCCAGGATTTTCAAAGATGGAACCAAATAATGACATAAATTTGAATAGGTTAAGAGGTTTGCATTCTTATATCCTTCATCGCTTCATCTTATAATCAAGCATAACAATATTAGGCATGGGGCTACTTTACCTGGCCACCTTCTATATAACAGCGGAATCTTGACTCACTCATGTTTGATCCAAAAGAGGCATACCAAACATCAATTTTTGATAACTCAGATCTCCAAGCTGGAGAAGCAGCAGCAGCTTGACCTAGATTTAGGTTGCAACTTACTTAGATTAAAGAAAAATAAAATAAGAATTAAGGGTTTATGGAAGCAGACTGGAGAATTTAACCTGCATCATGAGCATCATCGCTAACTTTCAGTTTTGAAAGTGGTATTGTAACATCCTCCTGAAGATCCTCTGATAATGTATTTGGACCATCATCATACTCATCATCTGACTGCGAGCTATATATCTACAACCCCATGATTGACATAACAAGATTCAGGAACAAGTGTGTTTCAATGACCCAGTTCATTGTTCCCATTTCATATGAATTCTTTATCTACAAGAATTACAAACTAAAACTCTCCATCTTATAACAACACACTACAAGTTTCTAATGTTAAATTTTAGCATTTGTACACTCTGTCCGTCCCAAAAATAGATGAGCCTTTTGCTTAAAGCAACGGTTAGGGGATTATTTTTATTGTTTTGATGCGTTCATCACTGAAAATGGCTGTTAACATAAAATCAATAAGAATCGAAATTACAAACCACTAATAGAAAAATATCATCTTTTGATAGATCTTATTTGAAGATTGAGCATTTATGGATGAAATGTGAATGGAGAAACAATACATAATTACTCAAGATAAAATTTTAAAGATTATGACGAGATCTTTGAAAAAATGTAGAATTGTAAAACATCTTCAAAACACAACCCCAAAAGGATGTAAATATTGCTAAAAGGGTTGGAGAAAATAACAGGCTCATGTAATTATTGAAAATATGAAAGCCAAAAAGAGTATATTTTGACTAATGGCCATCTGTCACTCCTAAGTAACAAGTACACCTTGTGTTTTCCGAAGAGTACTGCTGGACATAATCCCAGAACCTCTCATATCCCAACATCCAGAAGACCAAACCTTTTACATACTTCTCTAGTATATAGACAATCTCACAATGGTAGTCCCTTCACCCATGAAACTTGCAAAATCTGATATGTGACATAGTTTTTTTAAAAGTATTTGACTATTTGTAAAATGTATGAACTTTCATCAATGTAAGGGAACCCTGTGGATTCAAATTTATATCATCAATGTTTTGCAATGACAATAAGAAAATAGGTAACTGTAACTAGAGAACTTTCAAATAGTAGACATATGCAATATTTGACTGAGTGTACAATGGTCAAGCCATTTGATGTCTCATCTTGTGACCCTATTATAGGCAATAGTTTAAGGCAACCCACTTAGGTGATAATTAATAAGTAGGACCAACTTATTGGAACAAATGAAATGTAGTTACGATTTAAAACATACATGACCTATATGAGGAAAACGCAAGCGTTACCTGAACTTGAGGCGTTACTCTACTTGGCAACTTCTCAGGCAACTTCTCTGCAAGTACCGGCCAAAATGCACTTAATTCCTCACGAACCTGACCATACGTAAGTTTTGCCTCAGAACGACAAATAGCTATTACGCGTAAGAGGACATTTGAAAATTTTCCAAATTGAAATAGTATTAGCAACTTAAAAATTTACAAAATTTAAGATTGATGGATACAGGAGCTTACCGCCTTAATCACACTCCATGTGGATTCAAATGGATAAACCTCAAAGGATTCAACAATAGGTTTGTCTTCTAGCAGCATTTCTACACAAGCAAGTACTGAATTGGCTAAAGAATTGAGATTGTATCCTCCTTCCAACGCCATAACAATCTTTCCCTTGCTAAACTCCATCAACTATACAATGCATCAAGCAACAGAAATACCATTAAGATATTGGTTCCAAGAAGTTTTTTGTTTTTTCTTGAAACAGAGGTAAGTAACCTAGACCTTCATATACAAATGGGAGAAATAAGGAGTGAATGAGCGTATGATAAACACAATATCTAAGAAGACACTTTTATTATCACTTATTTTAGGACATGCTCTAGTAATGTAAACCTCGTTTTTGGATTCTAACCTTCTTCAGCATTATAGAATAACCATGTGGTGTGATACGGCAGCCTCCTAGAGGATCGCCAATGGCTGCTCAAGAATACAATTAAAAAAAGGTTAAAACCCTCAAGAGAGGAAAAGAAAGATGGGATGCAGCACGCAAATGCTCATCTAATCTGTTGACAGTCCAAAAATGTTCATGCAAATGCAACCATCAGGGGCGAAAGGAAAATACTTCATCTGTTTGTCAACAATTATAAAGATGTAACATTTTAAAGACAGAATTATCATGAGACAGGACATAGAAAAAAATAACAAGATAAAAAAAAGAAAAATCTTGCCAATGCAACCAACACAAATAAAAGAGCTGCATATTTTTATTTTTTTATAGGCATGTAGACATAATCTAGAAGAGAAGGCCACGACTCTTTCACTGCACATACCAACCAAATACAAATAAAACGAACAAACATACCTAAGGGTTAAAGGAACAGTCTACCATATAGACGATATTGTTTTATTGTTAGAATTTTCCAAACAGAAAGTCTTCTATGCCACTAGGACTCCTAGAAAAATTTGTTCAGCATTAACTTTTCCTTTTCCAAAGAAAAAAAAAGGTGAAATGAAATTTTTGTCGGTTGTCTATCATCACACATACAGTCTCCAACCATGATCGAAATTATCCTACCTTTTATTTGCCCTATAATATGTATGTTAAGACATTTCCCCTTTCCCCTTTCCTGTGGGATAATTTACTCTTTGGGTTTGGATTCAAAATTGGGTAATTCACATCAAAGTATGGTCAAATAGCTATAAAGCAAGTAGTAAACTCACAGCACACTTACAAGCCCGACCAAGTCTATTACAGAAATGCTGGGGCCTTATCAATAGTATAAAGTCATTTGCAACACAATTAAGAACTTTATTTAATCATGGGTGATAATTGGAATAATTTTGTCATGTTTATTGACAGTTGGTGGAGCTGACCTGCATCAAATCCTGCCGAAATTAGAATTATGTCAGGGTTAAATTCTCTTGCAACTGGGATCAATATATAGTCCCAAACTGCATTATAATCTGCATCTCCACACTGACCATTCTCCCAGGGAACGTTTATATTATATCCTGCACCTGGTCCCTCACCCATCATGATATAATGACCATCATCACCAGCAGGATAAAAACTCCCAAACTCATGCCTGCATTTTTGCAATGTATTCCAAGAATAAGCATGACCGGAGATTGAATGATTTACAAAAGAAAATCTAAGAATGAGTAACCCAATTAGTGGTGTACCGGTATAATTGAAATGCAAATGTGAGCAAGAACACAGGGATGACACAAAAAAATTAATAAGCTATCCAGGAGTAGTTTATCTTAATCCTATGAGAGGAAAACTTCCAACTGATGCAACAAGGGTGTATAAGAATACAAGTTATAATTTGTATGTCTCATGTACCTGTGAACAGAGAAGAACAGCACTCGAGAGTCCTTCCAGAACATCTTTTGAGTGCCATTTCCATGATGGACATCCCAGTCAACAATTAATATTTTTTTGATATCCAATTCCTACAACACAAGAAGATATAACTTCAGTTAATGCATAGCTTACAGACAATTGTTGATCGGACAACCTGTATTCATTGATCAAGAATTTGGACATCTGTGCTCATAAGCATATGTATGCACATTAATGGTATAGCAACACATATAGGCTATAGGTCTCACTTTTTGGTTAAGAAGAAAGCTTGTTGCAATTGCAATATTGTTGTATAGACAGAATCCCATTGGTTGATTTTCTTCTGCATGGTGTCCAGGAGGTCTAACAATTGCAAAGGCAGAGTTAAGCTCCCCTTTTGCAACTTTCTCAGCAGCCTGTTAAGCAAATCATCTATTATTGTTTTTACAATCAAGCAAAGGATACCATATAACAGTTGCTTAGAAACATGTAAATCATAAAACAAGGAAATGTATCAGAGCTTAAATCATGGTAAGAACATCAAGACCAAATTGCACTGCTGCTAATCATTGATGGTGGGCATCCATAAGGAGGCCCCAGGTTCAAACCTGGGCACCACCACTTACTACTGATTCACGTGACTTATCTCTCCCATGATGGTCGTGGGACCGATGCAGTGGGGGTGCCCCAGAGGGTGGCATCTATCCTTTTTTAATCCCAATAGTTCATGTTTTTATTATTATTGAGAAATAAGTTTGTAAACTATCCTCTTCTCTGAAACAACTTACTGGAATCAAAAGAAGGATAGAACTAGAACTCCTGTTTTCCTTGTGTTCTTCACAGGCGCTCGCTGGATGAATCACTCATCCTGCTCCTAGGGTAAGGAGTCTTCTGTGTGTTAGAATATTTAGAGTAGACCATCTATTCTTTGATGCTAAGGTAGCGATTTGATTAAAAACAGAGCATGCATTCAAGTTATAAGTTTGATGGAGCATAGTTGACCTGGCGAGTGCGGTCACTAGGTAATTAGCTTTAGTGTAAGTTAATGCGATATAAGGCACCTGTATATGGTGAATTACTTCATATATCAATTCCCATTTATAGTATACCATATATAAGAACAATATAATTGTGTAAATAGTAGTTGGTAGTTTAGTAGTTAGTAGTTTAGGGGATTGGTTGAACTATTTCAGTCAACAAAAATTTTAGACAGCCCATCAATTGTGTGATTCATGGAAGTTTCCTTGATGAACAACATGTTGACAAAAAACATGATATCTGGAATATGTCTGGCAAAACTTCCTGTTCAGTACCAATATATTGCGAGGAAAATAAGTGGTAAGGAAATATATGTGTTGTGATAAAACTTCAGGGATGTAGATCTGAGCTTCTCACCTCAAGCACAGATCCAGCAGCAAGATAAGCAGCTTCTGATGAACCTTCATTAAAATATATTGAATTGTATTTTGCAGCCACCCTGTTTCTTTGTGGGGCCAGCTTTTTGGAGCTTATAGTCTTGATCAAATTAATGTGATTATTAGTATGAACCTCAGCTATATATGTGTCTTTCACTTCTTTGGCATTAAAGACCACACATCTGAAATACAAAATAGCATGCAAACTAAATCATGAATACATCTGAAAATGACCAAACAATGAAGTTCTGTACCTGAGGGGTTATTTCCTCATCAGTTGAAATTACAATGGTTGTAAATAAACGATATTCAATACAAACAACACTTTGATAAGCCATTGCAGCATTTGGAAAGGGTGGAAAAAGAAAGACTTGAAGAATCACCACAAATAGCAAGATAGGTTTCCTGTGTCCCCCAAAAAAGTATTATCTCCATAGTACAAAAATTAGAGAACTTTTTGGTGAAGCAAGTCACTGTTAGAATTAAGATTTTGTTTTATTTAGTATTACAAAAATTGTGGGGAGTATGATTTATAATAAAAACTAGTACCAGAAACGAAGCTTCTCGGTTTGCTAAGTCTAAGTAAATTAATGCTAACATTTAATTCTTGAAACAATTGGTGTAAACTTAAAAAGTCATATTTGATATGTGGTAACAAGGAAAATAAACAAGATGAAAAAATAGCCCATATAACTACGTAATATTTTAGCCCAAAATTAAAAGCAGCACGCTCCAAAGTCCAACCAGCTTGCATGAAAAATCTCGTATCAGATGACATACCCATTAAAAAACAGATCTATCAGAAAGAAAAATAACAATTGCAGAGAAACAAGCTGCAAACACCTGCTAAGTTTAATACAGCAAGTCCTGTGGATGTGAACACCAAAAATAGAACTGATGTGCCTGACATAAAGGATCAATTTGGCAAATAGTTTTGGGCGTTTATGATCACGTTCTGGTAGATGTGGGCAGGGTCCGGATCAGTCCTAAAAAGTCAAGTCTGGTCTAGTCAATGGCAAATCGTTGTGTGCGTCTATTGATCACGTTCCATTTGGGCTGCAATCCTGCAATGGTGGGGGTGTTCTTGAAGCACAATTGTGTCTCAAAATTCAGAAACTGACAGTTTCATAGCAAGTAACTTGTAGCTGTTGATAGAATCAAAAGTTTTAAGGGATTGCTTTGATCTTCAAGTATAAAATTTACAGACAGCATAAGAATATACAAAGAGTTCAAATTTGAGAACAAATTCATGTCAGTGAAGTCACTTCCAAACTTTTACCAAAAGCCACAATAAACGGCTTACGACGGCGTATCGAGTATGAAAGAAGTCACCTCTGTGGAATTCCAGCAGACACGAGTTTGTTCCAAATAGCACGAATACGATCGGGGTTTTCCGGATGGTCTTCGCCTCTAGGTGTTGAATGGTTACACATCCGTTCATCATATACCAGGCCAACACGACGTTGTTCTCCGGATACCAATGATGCAACCTGAGTTCCACTTCCATTGCTGCTACCGGACGGAAAAGCCATTAACAAGCTTGTGATCAGAGGTAGAGGAGAGTGCCAGTGAGCGAGTGAGGGAGATTTGAATTTTGAAAGAAATTAATGGAAGCTGTGTGATTCGTCCTCCCTCCTGCTAAAAAGCTAATGATTCCGTTCTGTTGTTTGTGTGACCTCACCAATTTGGGGTTTTATTTATTTTCGATTTCGTCCTTTTATTTTGAATATTTATATCAATATTATCTTATAAATCAGATTTATCAAAAATCTTAAAAATAATTTTTAATACATAAATTATTATACATTTATATACAAAGTCTTAAAAACAACTCATAATGCATTAAGTACTATTACTTTATACATTCAGTATTAAAATCTTTTAATCTATAATTAAAATAACATATAATACAAGTTCTCAATGCATATTACATTTTCTTTTCATTTTCTTAAGATACTTTTGACACATTTCACTCATGTCTTCATCCTCTCATACCTTTATATCTTCCAAATGTAAGATTCAAACTGATATTCACCATGAGTTATTAAAAGTTCTCTCATTCATCTCTCATTCAATTGCTCTCGAACTTTTGGTTTCGCTTTCGATCTCTTGATTTTTTGCACTTGGTGTAAATCAAACGCATTTGTGGAGTCGTTTAAATATATTAGATTTTAAATCATCATACAATTTTTTTATCGATTGTTTAATCAAATTGTATTAATATGTAAAGATCAAGTGTAACTTATATCATCGTTAAATCTTCTCTAATAAAGCTAGTGAAACTTCAAAATCGTTAAAATTCACGGCTCTCACCGTATTGCGCAGGTACACAACTAGTAAACATTGATTTATTGAAATATTTGATTTTATGCATGATAAAAAAAATATTTAAACCATAAAATTGAAGGTTAATTTGATTTAAGGATATGTCTGATAAATTATTTGATAAATTAATTAATGCTGAAAAAATCTCAAATAAATGTTTTAAAATAGAAAAAAAGTTATGTTAAAGATATTCTTATTTCAGATTTTTTAAAATAGAGAAATTAAAAATTCTGTAAATTTAGAAATTTCTCTAAAATTAAATGAAAAGATACAGAAATAATTTTTTTCATGTTTTTTCCGTCGATGGAGATTATTATATTATTATTTTATACAAAACTTTTTTTAAAAAATATATAACGATTATAAATTTATGAAATATTTTTTAATAATATAATTGATTATGGTATCTTTAAATCTGTTATACGAAAAACAAAACGGAGCAACAATAAAATAGAGAATAAGAAATTTGTAATTTATCCCCTAAAAGCTTGCACCAAGCAGTGGCGGATCCAGGAATTTTATACATTGGGGTCACTTAAACTAACAATGTACCAACACATCAATCATTATAATCAATAATACGTGATTACATAAGTTGATTTCTACGAGTTTTCATCATTTGAAACCGAGTCATTACATCATGATTTGTAACCTTAGCAAGTACTTCTTTTTCTACGGCACAAATGACACACGCATTCAAAAAATCGTCACAAATTCGATTGCGCAAAGCTGGTTTCACAAGCTTCATTACAGAAAAGCATCTCTCAACTGTTGCGGTTGCAACAGGCAAAACCAATGCTAGCTTCAATAATCGATAAACCAAAAGAAACACGAGATGTTTCCTTGTTTCAATCATCACTCTACCGAGCTCGGATATACCTTTCAAATTAGCAAATAATTCATCATGTTGGACATTGTCAATGTATAGTTAAAGTTGGTGCTCAAGAGTAGTTCTTTCGTCATTGCTAAAATCATCAGGATAAAACTCTGTCAACCTTAGTAATTTTGATGGGTCAAAGTCACAAAATGAGTAATGAGGATCCAATGCGGCCATACAAGTGAGCAATTCGGAACTTACCTCATCAAATCTGTCACCAAACTCTTGAATTTGCATATCCATA